AGCAGGCGTGTTCCACCGCAGGGTCACCCATGGTGGGACAGCCCCTCGAGAGCGAGCCGGCCCTCCCTGGCCGTGTCCCCAAGTGCCACATCCACGCGGCTTTTAAATCCCCCCAGGGACGGGGACTCCGCCTGTGCCAGGGTGGAGAAGTTTTCTCGGTGTCAATTGTGAAGCTCGCCTGGTGTGGAGGATTTGATGGCTGTAAACCAAAATCAGATGCTGTGCTGTGAGGGGATGCTGCTGTCCCATACCCTGTCCCAGCCCTGACCGAACCCATTCAGGCCAGACACAGGACGTGCTGCCATCACACGGCACTGGGGACACCGGGACCAGTGGCTGTGAACAGGAACCCGCTCCCCTTAATGGGATGGGATCTCATTAACATCTCGCTGATGGATAACATCAAATTAACATTCCCTGAGAACAGGATGGGGCAGCAGCCAAGGCCTGGGAAGCCCTGGGTGATGGGACTCCAGCAGGGCTCAGCCCAGTGCTCCTGCCTTGCTGCACACAGGCTGCTGCCAACACTGGGCACACATCACCTGGCAAGGAACAGGGGGCTCCAGGGCAGGACACGCTGCTTTCCACGGCACATCCAGGCAAAGCCTCACCTCTGGTTTACCCTCCTTCCATTTCCCTATCACACTGACCACCCTGAGTAAGAACAGTACATTCTGTGCCACCAGTGCCATGGCCTTGGTGTCCTTCTGTGCCCTGGGCTGCTGGTTCTGGGTAATTGCTCTGCTGCTTCCCTTTATCGTTCCATTTGTCCTGTGCTGTTTGTTCCTCAAAGTCCCTAAAGGCCTCTGAGGCAGACACGGAGAAACACAGAGCAGAGACAGCCCCAGGCATGCTGTGATTGTGCAGGATGATTTTCACAGAATGACAGAATATCCTGTTGGAAGGGACCCACAAGGATCATCAGAGTCCTGAGAGATTTTAGAGAGCTCTGTGCCAGCCCAGCCCGGACATTGCTCCAGGGAGAGCAGCTGCTTGAGATCCTGTGAGTGCTCTGGAGGCAGTGTGAAAAAGTGATGTGGCCTCCTTCATTATTGATTTGAGATTTCAAACCCAGGAATGTCAGTGTTGCCTCCCCAGCTTCTTTACTCTGCATAAATTCCCACCAAACCCACACTCAGGGACCTTTTTCAGTTTTGTTTCTTTTATTTTGTGATTTATTCTTTTAAAAACTTATTAATAAATATTTAAAGCTGTTTCTTCTTTTCCTTTAAAATGGTGCTGAAATGCGCATTCTGACAGCAGCCCCTGCTTTGTAAGGCCCCAGCAAATCCATGCCTGGGTTGTAAAGCAACAAAACCAGCTGAGAGCTGGGTAAGGACACTGGGTTTGGGGAACTGTGGGAACTCCACTGAAGCCAGTGATGTTACACCACGATACATTTGCCAGCGCCTGGCAATATTCCGGGTTTACTCACCCCTCCAAATCCCCCAACTGCAGCATTCAGCAGTGGCCAGGAGGGAAAATAGCACAAGTCCTCCTCTGTTAAACGCGCACTGCTACTATCATGCAAATCCATCTGGTTCAGCAGCTCTAAGCAGACTTCAAAGGACAGAGAAGTCATTAGAATCACAGTTCAAAGAAAAAAGTGAGCAGCTGGTCTAGGCCATCTGGTAGGGGACATAAAATGCTCTCTTTCTTCTCCAGTCAGTCTATGAAATTTTCATTAATTGTAGGAACATCTTCCAACATTAACCAACATCATATTGTTAAAAATGTAAGTCTTAATAAATCATCAAAACTGATGTCTTGGGGAAGCAAGGAAGCTGCAGTCTGCTGGGGTCTTCCCTCAGCACTAAGGTACCAGGCCATAATTACAATTTTAACTTGGTGTTTTCAAAGCAAATTAGTGGGAATTAGATTCCTCAGCTCCTTTGAAGGCCTCAGGGAAGAATGTGGACAGGGTGGTTCCCTAGGCTGCAGAGGAATCTCCTTTTGTATTGATTTCAGGAGGCACTTCTGGCTTCAAAATGTGGAGCAAGTGTCCTCCCTGGGCAGCATGCTTGGGCTGGATCCTGTGCTGCAGCTGGGATGGGAGCCCACCCCAGGACACCTGAACCCCAAAAGGACCAGGAGAAGTTTAAACAACTCCCTGCACGCCATCCAAGAGGAATTCCAGCTGTGGTGGGGGGAGCAGAACTCAGCAGAATCCCTGTGTTAGCTGCTGTGATCTCAGCAGCTCCTGGACATTGATATTCCTGTTGAATATAGGGATGACTTCCTTGAAACTCAGGCAGGTGGTTTGTCACAGGGATAGTGACAGCTGCCACAGGGAAACCAAACTGAGCAGGAGCCACAGGAGAGCTCCAGGATGTGGCAGGGACCTGCTGAGCCTGGAAACACGGTGACCTGGAGCTGCTGCAGCTCTCCTGGCCTCCTCCTCTCCTCTCTGTGTCACCTGGAGCTGCTGCAGCTCTCCTGGCCTCCTCCTTCCTCTCTGTGTCACCTGCAGCTGCTGCAGCTCTCCTGGCCTCCTCCTCTGCTCTCTGTGTCACCTGGAGCTGCTGCAGCTCTCCTGGCCTCCTCCTCTCCTCTCTGTGTCACCTGGAGCTGCTGCAGCTCTCCTGGCCTCCTCCTTCCTCTCTGCCTCACCAGCTGTGTCCTTCCTCCAAAAGGCAGACTGGAGAGCTCATCTTAACCTCATCACTCTGGGAGCACAGCTAGCCCAAATCTCAGCAATTTCAGGGCTTTCAAGCCCAGGATTTCCAAGGTGCCTGTTTCCATTAATTCTGCCTTTGCTCCTCTTGCCTGTGACTGCCCAAATTTACTGATACTTTTCACTTCCTACCAGCAGCATTTCAAAGCAGATGGGAAATACCTGAATATAGAAAAATCCCAATCTTCTGGGGTATCCCAGGGAGCCCCAGGGGTACCCACAAAGGTGCACATGCAGGTACCCCATCCCTGGCTCTGCCTGCACCAGCTCCACCTTTCCCACTCTCCACAGGTCTGTGCAAATTCAGCCCTGGTGCTCAGCTGGGTGTCTCCCACTGCCTTCCCGGCTGTTTTCCCAAGCTTTGGGCCAGCTGACAGGACAAACAGCTCTGGCTCCAGCCTTGTTTGCCACTGAACAACAGACACGAATGCTTGAAATACTTTCCTAATCTCATTTTCTCATGCAAACAACTGCTGGGATGTCAGGGGTGTTAGTCCAAGGCAGCAGCAGAAATGGGACATGCAGTTTGGACCCAGCCAGGGAGCATTCCCAGCCCCTCAAGCCTCCCCACATGGCCCTGTGCCCACACCCACCCCAGCCTGGACCCCACACCTGGGTGCAGGTGCCCTGCTGGCTTGGCCAGTGAGGAAAATTCCCTCCCTGATGGCAATGAGGGCCATTGAAATTCCTTACAGATGGAAACATCCATGGCCTGGGGTCAGCAGCCCTCCCGGGAAGGGAGCTGAGGATTCCCAAGCAGATTTTCCTGGAAGGATGGCTGGCTTTACTTGAGTGTGTGCTGGGATTGCAGTTGCATCTGGTGAGATTTTGGAAGCCCTGCTGCTGCCTTCCCCTTCTCTCCTGGGCTTATCTCCCCAGAGCTGGCAGAGGCCAAGATGTTTTTCCACGTCTGCCTTCCCCAGGAGATGCTGGGGACCCGGGGGACACCGTTGAAGGCTGGCTGGTGGCAGCACAGCCTCCGAACACCTCCCCCTCTGTAGAAAATAGCACAGACCTGCTTTTTTAGTTACACCCAAATCTGCTGTCATCCCTTGTGTGTTTACAGAAGAGAGGCATTCAATGAGCACAGAAAAGCGGCTTGCACAGCCTGTGAGGGGTGAGGAGCAGGGGCTGGATCCCCAGGCAGCTCCGGGAGCCCTTGGGAAGCAGCTGCCAGGGGAGCAGGGACCACAGGACCCGGAGCCGCAGTGACCTGCTGGGAG